CCTTTATTCCAAGCCGTCCATTAGGACAATGATCATGATAGCAGTGATAAGTCTGACTTCAAAAATGTTATTTAGGTGGCAAGTTGGAATAAATTACCTCATCAGTACTATCTTTTAAATAGATCCTTTTATCTATATACCACAATGACAAATCTACGTTTTCTACAAATACTCAGATGAAAATCCTAAAACAACAAAAATAAAAAACACCAGAGTAACACATCTATGAATTGTTTTTTATTCAAAGTCACTGATTGTTTTTATTAACAATTTCTTCCGATAGGTTTTTGTGATAAAATTGTTTTAACATAGTCACAGTCTTCTTTATGACTGTTTTCGAATGTTGATCATAGACGCAATCAGCCACATGATCATATATGTAATCTAGTCTACTTATTCTAGAAACAAATGAAGGCTCCGGTGACCTAGTGGTTAGATCGAGAGGTCGTGGGTTCGATTCCCAGTCGAATCATACCAAAGACTTACAAAATGGTCCTAATAGCTGCCTCAGTTGGCGCTCAGCATTTAGAGGTTATTGTTATGACTGGTCGGCCTGGTGTCAGGATAATGTGACTGGGTGGGACATCATGTTACATGTCTGTGGCATGATGTTCCAGTAATAGACATCTCCATAAACTGACACACTGCAGAACTTGTAGCAATATGACTGAAAAATTGTTAAAACTACGTTAAAAATTATAATCGTACACACTCTAAAGATAAATGAATTAGAAGTTGTCGCTTTATTAGCTAATGAATAAAACTAATATTCTCAAGACAACATGGTTTGTCCCACTTACAGAACATGTGTCCTTAAGACTAAAGTCGACACTTACAAATTTATTTTTCTCAGAAATAAACTAAAAGAGATTTGTGAAACATTCTAACAGCCATCTTTCTTGTGCCACTTCCTAATCATATGTCCTTAAGATTAAATTCGTCCAGGGAAAGACACATTTCGGTGTCCTGGAAGACTTTTGTAGGTTGCGGAATGGGGATCTGAAAGAACCTCGGCCACACTTGTATGTCCATGCAGGATGGCTGACGGGTCTCGTGACACAATGTAAAGATATTTCATGCTAAATATCAGACATATTGTACATACAAATCTGAAGTTGTTTTCATGTTAAGTAAATTCATTCGCCAAGTAAAAAATATTTTCATTCTAGGGAGGATGGGTCAAAACATATCAACGTTTGTGAACATTTACAGACACATCCTCTACTTTAGCAGCCATGTCCGGCCGAAGACCGTTTAAGTTATGTTTCAAACTTGAAGCCTCTAGGTCACACAAAGGCATATGATATAATATGTCTCCCATCTATAAAAACGAAGCAAGCTTAATGAGAAAAATTCTTACCAGTATGAAATAGTAGTCACCTCCAAAAATACATAAATAAGCATTAGCTGCATTGTAACTAGCAACAAAAAGTTCTGCACCCAATTTTCTTAAAAGTTACCTCTCCCTGTATTTCAACGAGTAGTTTCGAGTATCCAATATCCCGTTTTCATTGTATTCCATATTCTTGTCAAAAAAAACTTGACATTTAATAAGGAGAAACAATTATGCAAATTAAAAGTTCAAATTCCCATTTTTTTCACGGAATGTAATTCAGCGCGCGTGGTAAGTGAATAATTAAATAATTAAGGCATTACTTATGGTTTGATAGAAATGTTCAGTGGCTGTACCTATCACATGAGCAGCTTGTTGTTTTGAAGACCTAGAACATTGTCATGTGACATATTCTTATAGCCAAAATGTAACTGCCGTTCAAATTCAAACACAGTGTATACATATTCAGTCTTTGTGTTTCTACTGAATAAAAAGTAGGGCAAGAGTTGGTCAACATCTTTGTTTATAATGTGTTATGTTATCCATATGAATATGCTCGTATATTTACAAATGCCAAAACTTCATGCTGATATAGATATATTTTGTTGGTTATTGCTGTGGAGCTTAACGCCATTTTTCAGCACACGATAGGCTATACATGGCGGCCAGTATTATTGGTTGAGGAAGAAACCGGGAAAACCGCGGAAAGAACCACCGACCCACGAGAAGCTACTGGCAAGCTTTCTCGACTCGAACCCACGCAGACAGAGGTGCGATTGCAGTGATCGGAGAGCGCTTTTGACCACTCGGCCATTCTATTGGAAGGAACGATAATTGAGAGAATTTTGTTACAATAACAAAAACAAACTGTTATGCCTTATTTTTCAGTCTATACTATCATGATAATCTTTAGAAAGTCAATTAATAATATACTTTTTTGTTGGAAATAATAATAGCATGGCTTAAATATGCACAAGCGAAGATACAGAGCAGCCTTTGTATGTTAGAGTGCATCTAATTTAAGGAAATAGGTTTGCTCGTTAATTTGTATCCCAGGAAACATATTTGTCAGTGAGTAAAAGTCAATATTTCTAGATTAAGAAAGGTGGTACAACTTGATTATTTGATGAGCAATGTATTTTGGTAATTTTGAAATGTGTGCACAGTCTAACCGTTTTATATATTTTGCATAATACAAAAATCTACTTTTCAACAGAAATAATAGTTTATTTTAAAACTTATTGTGAAGGTAAGAAGATTGACAAAAGTTTTAAAGATTGTTAGCATTTGGTTTTCATGGTGTAGTAGTAGTATTAAATTCCTCTAATCGGCTAGAACATTTCTGTCTGCAGTATTGTTCATCATGTTGTGCAAAAATCTGTCTTGTGCACTCATTTAGCTTAGATCTAAATCTGGGATATAAATTCTTGAATAAACTAAAAACAGCAAACAATTCAACCCCGTTGAAACACGAAACTGAAGCTAGATTATATTTCAATGCAAAAAATGTATCACTCTATGACAATTTTGAAATTAAATTATTGAAGTAAAAAAAATGATTAAGGACTATAGTCTCACTTTCAAACTTGTACCCGATTTTCCATCATTTATGATGCAGTGTAATATTAACTTTGCTCAAAACGATGAATGATTTACATTGACGTGACTAATTTGAATGTGAATAATTAAAACAAAAACTGTGTATCAGTAAACTATGCATCTTTAGAGAGTTTCCGTACGTGTAAGAAAACATGTATCTGTATTATGATAGTCATAGATTGATATTGTGTGCCAGTAAAAGAAAATATTATTTATCAATTCAACACTGTTAACATATGCAGAGATAAATTATGTTCGAGTAAATTAATAAATGTTCCAATGATATAGGGATACCGTTGGTACCCAAATACACATATAGTTGCAGCTATATTTAGTTATAGTTAGACAGCTAAATTAGGTTGCAGTAGCGTTAATTTTTGCCCTTGCAGCATGAAATTCACGTTTGCAATCCTTTTTATTGCACTGATGCATTTGTAGTTATGTACCGCTGCACCGAAATGCAGTATATTTCTAGGAATGGTATTTTTATCGCTGAAATAGTTCGAACAGTGATGTAATAGAATTTAGTTTCGTTGCAGCTTTGTACATTTTTACAGTTGTATTGGTCTCTGCCTAAAACAATACATCTGTGCATTGCAAATGCCGTCGCGCTCTTATCTGAATAGCGTTGCAATTGTGCTCTGTTCCAACTTAAACGACACATTTTATTGGCGCATACTACAAAAATGAACGATGCACCAACAAGATTTTAACTTGATAGCAAAAAATCGACATCATTGTAAATGCATAAATAACTGTTGTTGTGGTTAAAAATGCAGACAGTTCCAACGATATTGTGGATGACATTGCAACCATGCAGTCAGGTGTCGCCCTTGATTGTACCATACTGCTGGAATTATTTTGACTCTTTTTATTCGTTTCACAAAATAAATCATTATTTTTTCAAGCATAATTCTATTTTAGGAATAACTATCAAAGCTGGATCGGCCACGCGATTGCATACATGAAATGGAAGAAATAATGAAACTTAGTTTGTTATGGCCAAACAAAGTTGCCTCTGTTCTTGCAGCTCGAATATCGTGACCAAATCCAACTTCAATAAGCATGATAATTATTGACCATAATTCATAAGAGTTGTAGATATCGATCCTATTCTCAGTTTAGAGTATATACACAAACTTTGTTACAGGATTCCAGATGGTGACAGAATTTGGCTCAAATATGAAAGCGTTAGTATTTTCTTCTGCCTCCACAAAAACAACGTAATCATATTGAGTGCCCTAAACACATTACGGTCATCCTTGTCAATCAGTAGGCTTGCTCGTTCGACAACCATGTGTTGGGAGGTGTTATTGTTTAATTTGACGCAGCTGTCATGCTATGGATTTTCTCAAGATAATTTTTAATGACACACCGAAAAGAATATTAATGTGAGTAATGCAAAATGCTTGAAGAACCATACCATTTCATACAAGATGATTGTTTATTAAAAACATACACATCCACCAAAAAAACTAGTTATTTCTTTCCACATTTGAAAAGCTTTTAAGTTTTCATTCGAATTAATTAGATAAAAAGTTCAATTTAATCTTAAAAAAGCAACTAAAAACAACAACAGCAGCAGCAACAACAACAACAACAATAATAATAATAATAATAATAATAATAATAATAACATCATTATTATCGTCGATATCTTCATCATCAATGATAACACTGGTCTACAATTTTTTTAGAAATCGTCTGCTTCAGAGATAAAATGTCCTATTTATTATGAATTTTGATGTGCTGAATTCAAATATGACAATATAAACAATATAAACAACTAATTGGCTACTGTTTCATATATTTAAGTTGTTACATTTTACATCTATTTATATTCTGTAGATAGTTGAGTTTTAATGATAAATTGTAAATCTACGGATGCTTTACATGATAGCATTTAATCTGTCCTGTTTGTGTAACACTTAAAAAAACAGCAAAAGGGTTCTATAAAAGGTTTACTATGAAACAAAAGGACAAAAACTATCATGTTTAGATAAGTACATAGTTTGGTCTTTATTCAGTTTCTACTCGGATCTTCATGGTTTTTCTCTTGTGTTCAACAGCTCTGGTGGCCTAATGTTTACGGCGCCCGCCTCAGATGCGGGAGGTCTTGGGTTCGATCCCGCTCAGCGTTGAGAGGTTAGTGTTAACACTGGTCGTCCTGGTGTCAGGATAATGTGACTGGGTGGGACATCATGCTACATGTCTGCGGCGTGATGCTCCAGTACTAAACATCATTATAAACTGGCACATTGCAAACATTGTAGCGATATGACTGAAAAATTGTTAAAGATACGTTAAAAATCAACATCACATCACATCACATCACATCACATCACATGACATCACATCACATCACATCACATCACATCACATCACATCACATGTCTCTTGTGTTCATTAAATGGAGCATCTTTTGTCACTGTCCAGCATTAGTCTGAAAGCATTAATGGGCTCTATTTGCTCTGATAACGTTTCTCCATTGCTGCAATGTCCTGGTGAAAACTCTCGCCGTATTCGTCGATCACTACTCCGCTGTTCGGGTGAACAAAATCTGGATGAGAGTGAAAAACGTATCTTTAGTGACATTTTGCAACGAATGCATTTGTATTCCTCAAGGAATTTATTTCAATAGAGCTTCTTATTAAATCATTCATTTTTTTGCCTATAAAAAACAAACAAACAAGTACTGTCGAAACCCAGTCAAAGATTTTTTCATAGATCCAGTCAAATATGTAGTTTAGTCATTTCTGGTTTAAATTTAGATCACTTCACTTTATAACTCACTAATCCTCCGCCATTCCCAAGTTAAAGGTCGAATATACTGACCCAGTAATATCTCTTTAAAACTAGAGCCAGTTAACAATTTTAGCATCATTTTCGTTCTCAATCATCCAGAAGTAGTAACATTTGACTACATTTATCTCGGAAGCATTTTGGCTATATACCGGTGTAATAGGTACATAGTTATTGAAGGCTGCATAAACCGTATCACAAGCATGGAATTCTATAATAGAGGGCATATGCCTCTCAGACAACGGCTTACCCTGTGAATTCTAGGAAATGTTACCATCTTTTGTTGTTTCGCTTTTTCGTTTTATTAAAAGAAAAACAAAACGTTGATGTGAAACCAATTTGGAATACAGAAAGAGCTTGCTGCTCATAACGAATTAGCTGTGCATATAACACACACTATATTATTGATATACGTAAGTGTTAAACAGGATGAGACAACTGGATAATAATAAAAATAATAATAATAATAATAATAATAATAATAATAATAATAATAATAATAATAATAATAATAATAATAATAAATTTGTAATTGAAGTGGATATTTCTGATATATCAGTCGTAGAATGATGAGAAATTTCTTTTGGTTTACTATTATATGTATACATAAAGTGTTGATTATATTATTCCCATTGTGAACACGGTCTGTTCACGTATACATTCCGTGAAACCGAGACGTGAATTTACTTAAATTATGGATTTCAAATATTATTTATGAATTAAAGAATAATCACAAAAAACACATACGCAACAAAATCAGCTCAAAAGGGACCAAACAATACAAATCAAACGGACATTCAGTCAAAACGCTCGAGATGTTTCCGAAGTAATCTAACCAATGGTGGTCAGACATAGAACGCACACATTATGATTTAAAATTCATGGGGAAATGAACAACATCTAACCTTTCCGTTATATATATGATCGAAAATCGTATTAGTCAGGGAATTAACGTCTGAAAAAGAAAGCTAGCAAACACATTACCAAAAAAAACTTGTGTGAAAGCGGCACAAAGACTTTAAGAATTCTTTCTCAAGACTACGCTTCCGCAAAAGATTATTACTCAAGCGTTACAAGAACAAAATACAAAAACGCAGTTACTATAAAGAATATTTATGATGTTTATATACAGAGACGACACAACGAAATAATATATTAAACAAGTAAGGTTGCATGAAGTTTCGTGTTGCTTTTTGTAAGACCCAATTCATTAAAACCAAATATACGACTTTGCTTAATGCTGTTGTTGTTTTTGGGCTTAACGCCATTTTTCAGCACACGATAGGCTATTCATGGCGGTCAGTATTAATGGTGGAGGAAGAAACCTGGAAATCAACGGGAAAGAACCACCGACCCACGAGAAGCTACTGGCAAGCTTTCTCACATATCCACATTCACCGAATCCTAGACTCGAAGACACCCAGACAGAGTTGAGATGGCAGTGATCCGTAACGGACAGCGTTTAAGACCAATCGGCCACTCGGGGCCCCGACTTTGCTTCATAAGGTACAAGATACGCTAAATTCCTACTTGACTCTTTACAACCATCGAAAAGTACCTAATCCGTTGCATTATATCCCACTGGGTAAGGAGATGACATTTATAAATCGTGAATCCTAGATTACTATCACGTACTTATATAACCAAAGCATTGAATCTAAAAAGATTTTTCACTAGGCCAAAATATTAGGTAGCTGCACATGTACCTTTCTGACAAGCACACCACCATCTCAACGGTGTGCATCACTGCCCTGCCAAATATAATACGACTTTACTTGCTAAGTTTAAAAACAAAAAACATAAATATCATTCATACACTTCGTAAGGTGCACATAGAAAAGTAACCAACCCATAGAATTATATCCCACTGGGTAAGAAGATGACAATTCTAAATCGTCAAACCTAGTCACAGTGTTGTGTGACCAAAGAATTATACGTCGGCAAAAATATTAGGTTGCCGTAATCTACCTTTATGATAAACACAAAACCGTTCTTACGATGTGTAATGCTGTCCTACATAGAGTAGCTAACAATTGTCTGTGATACTTTTTAATGTGGATGTTTTTTTCCTATTAAGTTTGACCTCAATATGACAGAGCTGGTTCAATGATTATTTATAATTGCTGTTCTTTTCAAAAGGATGAAATTACTGTGTAATTCTTAAACAATCAAAAGTCACCTGCTTTCTTATTTCACTCTGTATTCCGCCCAAATTCTGAGTAGCGGAGAAATGTCATTCCTGCATCGTATCACGAAACTTTCTAACGTTGTAGAACACTGGCAGATTTTGTCGCATTAAAGTTTGTCTCATCTTAGAGTAATTTGTATTTGAAACGGAGCTCCTAACAGATTCGTAAGTCTGGCTCTGAGGAAAATTTGCAACACCCGAAGTCTCGTTGTGACGAAACTGCTTGCAAAAAAATTCAAATTTCAGCATATATGTTCAAACTGTTTATTCTGTAATACTTGAAATTAGGCACAAATGATGTTTCAATGTGTGAACACAGTCGAGAAAGCAAAATCCTGGTAGATTAGACCTTATCATGCACGGAATCTGCCAATTAGCTATTAATCGAGTATAAGATGCAGGGGCTCTGCAAGTCGTAGGGCACAATTATACATCTATCTATAAGTTTATCTCCCACTACACATACATATACACGCATGTACGTGCACACACACACACACACACACACACACACACAAGCACACACCTGATGAGTTCGTCTTTCGGACATAAAGATGACCATGTTTTCAGATCTGGGCTGGCCTGTGAGTCCGCAGATGGCTGGTGAGGCCAATCTGTTCTCCGAAGTGTCTTGGGCAATAATGACAGGGTATTGCCGAGGCCTGGATGGACTGAATGCCAGCACCAGCTCTGCTTCTCCTCTGCTGAAGTCTCTGCTTGGCCTCGTTGATCCAGTACTCTTCAAAAGCAGCTGCCCCTGAGTTGATCTGGTGACGCCAGGCAGTGTGATCTTCGGCAAGCTGCTCATAAATGTCTAGATCAATGACATACGACTTCATGGAGGCTTTGAGCGTGTCCTTGAACCGTATCTTTTTGGCCTCCTCAGGTACGCTTGCATGTAGTGAGTTCACCTACAAATCAGTCTCTTTGACAGGCGCTCATCATATATACGGCAAACATGACCAGCCCAGCGGAGTTGTGACCTTCTGAAAATGGCATATACGCTTGTCATCTCTGCACTCTAGAGGACTACTATGTAAGGAGTCTTGTCCTGCTATTTGATGTGGAGTTTTTGAGGCAGCGTGTGGATGGAGTTTAGTTATTTTGCACGGCGATTGTACACCGTTCATATCTCACACACGTTCAAGAGGGAGGGTAGTACTACAGCGCGGTACCCTTTGAGCTTGGTTTGCAGGCTGATTCATCTTCTGTTCCTGAGTGACCTCTTCAACAATGGAGACTATGCGCGACAAGGTACTTCCAAGGTATATGAACTGATGTCAGCAACAGCGAGTTTCTGGCCATCGACGGTAACTCTGCATTCGTTGTAGGGGACTGAGGATGCATGATGGTACATTATTTCGGTCTTCTTCGCATTTATTTGAGCACACATTTTAGAACCGATCCATACTTTCTTGTATGTCAGACTGACTGCCAGCATTCAATAAATTATTTATTCATTCATTTAGTATAGGGTTGGTGTATGGGTTGTTCAAGGAAGGGTAGTACATCTGGCGGAAGTAGCAGTCGTACTCCGATGGGGTAGCTAGTCCACCTTTGGTCTCCACCTGTCACTCAACTCTTACCTGTTTCTCCCAGTAGATGTAGAATGCGCAGCGGCCTCACAATGAGCAACGACTTCGACTGGCCGGCCAAACCAGGTTGAGGGTAGTGGTAGTATCAAACCCTCGGTGATCTAGGCTTTTCTACCTAAGCATGTGAAGACTGTACCCGGCTGATGGCGCGGAGTAACCACCAGCTGGTCAACGGACAGAAAGGCGGTTACAGCAAGAGGAGTGGAACTCGACTATGGCAAAGTGAAACACTTTAGATACATACATACATGGGGTATATTACTGTATTATTATACAATCTTTATATCGTTCATTGAAAAAAGGGAACCATTTTTAAGTTTTATAAAGGACCATCATCGCAATATATTTCAAATCCAGTGCAGTTGATTATTATATAATGTGTGTTAATGGGGTGTTGAGAGAGAGAGAGAGAGAGAGAGAGAGAGAGAGAGAGAGAGAGAGAGAGAGAGAGAGAGAGAGAGATCTAAGTCCTAAACGAGGATGAGTGACATTACAAATTGAAATTATGTATGAAGAATTAATAATAAAATACAGGTGAGATAATGCTTAGTTTGT